TTTGTATTTTTTTCCCTTCATCTCTCAAGCTTTCCCAATGTCTTTTCAATGAATGTCTGACAAAAGTTTCACAAACACCTGCCTATACATTGGTCTCTAAATCCTGAAGAACTTATGCAGCGATGCAACATCAGTTCATGGTGCTTTCCAGTTTCCCAAAAAAACAGAGCATAGTTTCTCCACGGCTCAGCCAAAGTGAACCTTTCATCTATTTTTTTAGTTGACTTGATTGTTAGATCCTCATGTCCTTTACCTGCTTTAAAGCACACCTTGGGATTTTTCTCTCCTTTGCAGTTATTTTTTTATTAAATAAGCTAATTGCTGCCTTATGCTGTATTTTGAGGGATGCTTCTTGGAATTTGTGACATTAAGGACTAGATTTTTAAACTATGATAATTTCAAAGACCAATTTTTAGTTAAGTGGGTCATTTAGTAAAATGTGCCCATTTTTTTCCCAGCTTAAAACACCTCGTAGACCTTTGTTACATAAATAAACCAGCCTTGCAAAAAACATTAGAGTTTTCCTTATAAAGGAAAATAAAACCAATAAATGCCTGCAAACAGGTGCCTGCATAAGAAAGTGAGAGAAATGTGGGTTGTTGATGGAGAGGAGAGAGCAGTGCTCTGACAGTACTATCAAGGAACAGGCAGAGGTTGAAAAACTAAGGAAAGTATTAATTTGCCAGGATGAGTTATGGCCTAAATGGAAGCAGCAAAGCAGTATTGACTGAATGGAAAGGTCAAATGGATTGCTCCTAGGACAGGAGTTTCGAATAGGGAGACTTGAGAGAGCTGCACTATGGAAAATACACCTGAAGCCACGTTGAGAAAATTAACGGAAAGGTTGGAATCAGATAAGGATTTGAGAGGCAAAGCTGAACTGTTCCAGTGTTCCAAAGCATGAAGAGAAAAAAAACCCCACAACTTTGCTATTCTGCTTTTACTAAGGATCTTTTGTCCTTTTTTTTCCAGAAGAGAAGTTGTGTTTCTGTGGGCATTGCAGGCCACCACTGCTGCAGCACAAAGTAAGCTCCGTGCTACTATTCGTCTTCCGAACACCAAGCAGGCACCGAGGGCCATTTCTGCTCCCATTATCTTTGGTTAGTCAAGTGAGACTATTTGCAGGGTGAGTATAAGTGCTTTGTTATTTTTCTTTGCCAACTGTGGAAGAAAAAAAGGTCACTTTTTCTTGTGTGGATTGGTTTGAATCTGTTTCGTTGGAGTATGTCAAGATAACTCCTTTTAATTTTTTTCCCCTACTATTCTGGTTGCTGCTGCTCCATCACTGTCCCTGAGCACAGGCACAGAGGGTGACATGAATGCACAGTTTTTGACCCTGACATTTCTCAGAACAACATGGCTTTGATGATGCATTTCCCTGCCAAGATCGACCAGGGAGAAGGACAAGAGATAAACATATGTGTCTGTATTTGTGTGGCAAAGTTTTAGCATACATTGGTGGGTTCAACTTTGAGAGCTTCGTATTTCTCACAAGGTGCAGAACAAGCACATAGCCTGTTATTAAATGACCTTACTTTTGCACTGATGGTGTTCACATAAAATCAGTGTGTCAGGAGTAGGATTCCCAAGTGGAAGAGAATAACATTTTAGTGACTAGGTAAAATAGTGTTAGCACTTTTAGAAGAGAGTTAGGAGTTGAAAAAACTTGAGGAGAAATGTAGGAGGTGGAGGTGTTGGCTGGAGGATCTATATTTCTAAGGTCCCCACTGTGAACTCTGCTTTCTTGGGCACAGGTGATATTAAATCTTCAGGTTTCCACTATTTACATGCTTGATTCTTAATTTTCACCAAACCACCACCTTTAAACCAAGACTTTTCCTTTTTTCCCCCCACCCCAGTCAGCACAAGGAAGGTGTCATTAGTCCAGACATCAGCCAGGCGTGGGGTGTCCTCTGGCATGTCAGTGTTGGTACGAGCAGTCCTTGAGAAGGTGAAGTGTAAGGGATGGGTGTGAGGAACTGGACTTTTTAAATTGCCTTAAAACATTCGTGAGCTGTGCAAAGAAGCCAGGAGAGTGAAGATAAAGGCTGAGGGGAGGAGGCCTTAGCTCACAAGCTGTTAACTCTGTGATGGCCCGAGGGGGGACGACTCTTTAGGTGTGCGATGCTTCCCCAGGTGTGTGATGCCTTTCTAAAGACGACCAGCAGGGACTCTCTGGGTGTGTGATGCTTCATCTCCTGTGAGCCAGGCTGTGTCAAAAGGGGCCTTTCTGTGCACACACCCACCTTCACCCTTTACCTCGCTTTTAGCAGGGGTGCCTCCAAAGCGGTGCCCCCACCCCCGAGCCTAAAATGACTTTGCAAAAACCAGCACCTCCAGCTCCCTGCAAAACCAGCATCACTGCCAAACAGCCCCCTCCACACACACATGGGGGAGGCACCAGGAGGATGTATAAACTCACTGAATTTTATATTTCATGGGCTTCTCTCCCCCACCACACCCCGACCAAGCCACCAGCAGAAACAACAACCAAGTTCGCCGGAGACCTTTGAGTGGTGACAATGAACTTTAACTCTTTTTCTCGCTCTTTCATTCTCTTTTATTCTTTCTCTCTCTTTCTTTCTCTCTTTTCCCTTATACATTTTCTTGGGCGATACATTTATACTTTTACATTGCTATATTACAACCAAAACAAATACTTGTTTTCCTTTATGCTTTTATATTTCCATGTTACCATCGATAATAACAACCAAAACAGCTATATATTGTTTTCCCTTGCAATCAAATTGTTCTAGAATAAACCATATATATAAAAAAATATATATATATATATCTGTAAACACTATTATATGTTTACATGATCGATACTGATCATCTAGTATCGATTTACTTTAATTCACACCAAGGGATTTATTAGCAAAATACAAAAGTTACTCCTGCCTGGCAGGGCGGGTTGTAACAATGGTGTCCTCAACTCCTAACTGCCCTGCACCAGTGCCAGGCCGGGGTTGCTGTGAGCTTCACTGTGTGTCTGCTGGGAGCAGTCTGCCTCACCCCTGACATGTTTGCCTTACCACGTTTTGTGCGGGTATTTGGGATGTTTTGGATGCGATTGCAGGAACCTGAAGTAACTGCTGCCGCGCCATGTGACACCCTTGCACAGTTGCTTTTACTTTGCATTGCAAATCTGCTCCTGGCTTCGGGGAAGCTGGCGGAGCTCAGTGTTCGCGCAGCGATGTGGTTCATCCCATTTCCCTGCTGCGGTGGAGGCAGGTTGTCAGTCACTGCGCTTTCTGTGCTTCTCCATCACCTACCCGCAGAATGAACAGACAGGTACCTGCCTACCTGCACGGATCTGTGGTGTGCTCTCTATGTGTTTGTGCTGTTTAGGTTGGGCTGCACAGACACCTGCCTGGGTGTGACTCAGGCTGGGCTGGCGGCGGAGCTGGGCAGGCAACTCCCCAGGTAAGTTCAGAGCATCAAACGAGACATGTTAAGTAGGTGGTGTGAGTGTGCACCAGGACAAGTGCTTGCTTCAGTCTGCTCTGTGGGCTCAGAGCTCGTTATGGGGTCTGGACCAGAGGGAGCCAGCAGTAAGAGGTCCCAACTGGCGTTACCCAAGTGCTGCTGTGATATCTCCAGTGAGATGTGGTGACCGTGTGGATCATGATGCACGGCTGAGATGAGCTGAATGTGTGCCAGGCTTATTCCTGGCGGTGGCTGCCGGTTAGAAACATCCAAAAGAAAGCATTAGGAAAAAAAAACTTGGTTAAAGAGAAAAGCAGGACGCAGAGGGTGATGGACGGCACTAATGACAAAGATGGATGGGTTTTGAATTTTGTTTAGCACTCTTTTTAAGGCACTAAGGAGAAGAGGACGCAGACTGGCACAGGTTTGGTTTCGACGTACAGGTTGTATAAAAGCCAGGTACCACGGCAGTCTTTCGTGTGGGAAGCAAACAGTTCTTTAAAAGCAAACCAGTTTTGAGAAGAGCTCGGGCTGCTTTGGGAACAGGAGTGTGAAATGCTTTATGTCCCAGAGGCAGAAGCACGGCATGGCCCCCTGTCCTCGCTTCCAGGGGATGGATGTGCCATGCCAGCTGGGACCCTCTGGTACCGGACCCCTCGTGGGGCTGCCTTTATCTCCTCCCGCTGCATGTCAGGTCTCGGTGCCGGTGCCTGCCGGCTGCTGGGGGATGCGGGGCCAGGCGCCCTCACGCTCCCGCCGCGGCAAAGCCAGAGCTGGAAATAGTGTCCTGTGATCCCAAGGCCCGGCGCTGCCCTTATTCACAGGCCCGCCCGGCTCCAGCCCCGCGGCTCCTGCGCTCATCCCGTCCCGTTCCCGCGGGACGAGGCCCCGGAGGTTCCCGGGGGATCCCGGAGGTTCCCGGGGGTCCCGGCGGCGCCCGGGGAGCGGCCCCGGGGCGCGGGGGGCGGGGCTGCCCCGTCGCCAGCCCCGCCCACCGCGCCCATTGGCTACGACCGAGCTCTGCTTTGCATATTCCCCGCCCCGCCCCCGCTCCGCGCCAATGGGGGCGCGGGGGCGGGGCCTCATTAGCATGCGCACCCCTGCCCTGGGCGCGGAGCCGCCGCAGGACCGAGGTCCGGGAGGGGCGGGGGCGCCGAGCGCAGCCCCGGAGCCGCGGCCGCCGAGGGGCCGGGGACCGGCCCGGGACCGCCACGGCCACGGCCGCCCCCGAGCGCTGCCCGCGGGGCTGAGATGAGCGGCGGCGAGCGGCGCTGCGGGCTGTGCACGGGGCGGGCGGGCGGGCGGCGGAGGAGGGCTGACTTCCCGCTGAGGCAGCCCTAGAGCCGCGCCGGACGGAGGCGCCTCCTTATCTTCGCTCTTTCTTTTTCTTTTTTTTTTTGGCCGTTGGTGGGCGTTCGGGTTTTTTTTTTTTTTTAATTCGTTTGTTTTTTTTTTTGCGGCGGCCGGCGGGGCTCGGTGCGCGAAGGGCGGCGGCGGAGGAGAGCGGCAGGCCGAGCCGAGCCGGGCCGGGCCGGGGCAGGCTGGGCGGCCGGCGGCCGGCGGGGCCGGCGATGCGGTGCCTCGCTCTGCTTGGCCTCGTCGCCTGGGGCCTGGGGAGCTGGGCCGGACCCAGCGGCGGAGCGTCCCCCCCTCCTTGCCCGGCCTCCTGCAGCTGCGACGGCGACCGCGGCGTGGACTGCTCCGGGCGGGGGCTGGCGGCCGTGCCCCCGGGACTCAGCGCCTTCACGCACGCCCTGTGAGTCGGGGCGGGGGCCGGGCGGGCAGGTACCCGCGGCGGGGAGGTACCTGCGGCGGGCACTGGCTGTCTGTGTGTCTGTGTCTGTGTGTCTGTGTGGTTGTTGTCGCTGCTGCGGGTCCGGCGCGGCCGCCTCTCCCGGCCCGGTGCGCGGCGGGGCCGCCGGGCCGCACGCAGGGCCCGGCCCCGCTGGGGCAGGTGAGGGCGGCGGGGACACGGGCGGCTCCCCTGGGCCCCGGCGGGCGGACTGAGCCGGCCGAGCCCCCCCCCCAAGGGATCGGTTTAAAAGGCCGGGAGGAAGCTGCTGTGGCAGCCAGAGGGGAGGTCCCGGGGGGGTTCGCCGTCCGGAGCCGGGGGGGAGCTGCTGCCCGCACATGTGTGTGCGCGGCGTGAGGTTCCTCGCCCCGAATCGCCTTTCTCCTCCCCGGTTTTCTCCAGGAACCAGTTCCCGGGCTAGACAGATTTCTCCCAAGGCGTTTTCAGTCCGAAGCACGCACAAGTCTAGTTAAATAAGGTGCCTTCGCTTTTACAAAATCTCTCGCTGCGTTGAAGCACAGGGGGGACCTTGAAAAAAAAAAGGACAACCCAGCGTAAACAAGCGTCGAAGGTTTATCGAGTTTTGCTTGAAGGTGGAGAAAAAATATAAACTCTTAAAACACTTTCTCCCGTATTCTGTGATAATATTGTAAAGCAGGCACAAACTGGTAGATCTTGTGTTGAGTTTTGGTAACTTTATTATTAAAATTTTAATTGAGGAATGAACACTCCGTTCTGTAGAGACATGACCGAAGAGGGATTTTCAGCTTTCAGTATGGTAGCTTTGCTAATCCACAAACTTGTTAAGTTTCACAATAAAACCTGTCAGTCTTGCCCCACTCCTCAGCGCAGATTTCACAGGGTGGAGCGAGGTCTCGTATGGGCCAGTGGTCAAGTCTGGTATTACTAAAGCTTCGCTGCGTTTACAACATGTAACACAGCACACTACGGCAAATGATGGCGTGTGGTTTCACATCGGTACTGAACTGCTGTTTTGTCAGAATACAAGAGTGGTGTATGCTTTCGAAAATTGCGCTTTTTTTTTTTCTTTCTCTTTGTTTGCCTACACTTAATATGCAAAGGGAGTCTGATTCTTAGTTACTGGACGTTTTGTTTGCTGAGGAGGTTTCCAGTTTCTCCTACCTATTTGTATTGTTTCTTTCTTTTAATTGTTCAGGCTGGGTGGAGGAAGATTACTAGGCCTTTTCCTTGTGTAGCACTTGAATGGCAGAAGTTACAGGTCTCTCTTTTTTTTACGTGTGCTTAAATATGTTATTCCCTTTTTTGTGCTCAAATGGTGTTATTGGGACCTCACTTTGTGGTGGTTTTTTTTCTGTCTGAAATTGTGGTTTGTGAGTGTTTGGGGTAGGGAGTCAGGAGCTGCCATTGTGAAGCCTTGGACTTGCTGGGAAGTTGTCTTCTCTTTCCTCCGCAGATAAAACCGGGGAGTTACCCAAATTCATGAAGCTCTTGAAGCTTCTTTGGTAAAAGCTGCGTTTAAGCGCAAGGTTTTATGGCTGCTGTGTTGTCTGGCTGTCTTGTGAAATGGGCTCGGTACATTCCTGCGTGTCTGCAACATGGCATTCGTTGTCTAATGGGCACGAGTTGCCATAACCAACACCCATTAGAGATAAGGCTGCCAAAGACTTGCAGTTTGTAAGTTCCCTCTTACTGTGCAGGTTAATTTCCCAAAGCCAATGGCAAAAACGAGAGGAGACCTCCACAGCTTCAGTGTGCTTCGGGATGAGGTTTTGTAGCTGTTGGTTTTATATTCTTTAAACAACTGAAGAAACTTTGTAGCTAACTCATTCTGTGGCAGTGAAGGATACTCTTGATTCCCATTTGTGTTTAGTTCCTGTTTCCTTATTTACAGAAGGAAAAAAATGGTGGCTTCTTGGCACTTCAGAGCTTGACTAGTCTGTCTCTCTTGTAGCAAGGCCACTAGAAGTTTAGGATATGTAAAGGCAGTTTTGGAGGCAATAAAAAACCCGTTTCCAACCTGCTGGGATGTGGCAATGTATAGTTTTCCCAGAGATGCAGATTTGGTTTGTGTGGAGAAAAAAGCACGTGAAAATAAAATCACCCCCCCAGCTGATGTGTTGGTGTCATGGCAAAGCGCCTTAGCTACGTGAAGAAAGCTCTTCTATGCTGTCTGTCAGGCACCATAAGGATGCCAGGAAATCCCCCTAGCATTGCTATGGGCCTTTTTTTTTGATTATAGCCATGGCAGCAGAGAGCCCGTAACGTGGAGATGGTTGCAGGAGTGTCACAAGTGATGTTCTGTGATTCCAAAGCAAAGCTGTGCCTGGATTTTTGCCAGGAGAGAGCAACTGAAGAGAAGTTGCTCACGATTAAAGTCAGCAGTGAATGAGTTTCAGGCCAGTTGAGAACCATGGAAGGGGGTTGGTGTTTACTTTTTACTACTTCTGTTTTCCTGCTGTCTTAATTTCTTTGCATTAATTCTAGTAATTTAACCAAGCTTCAAGGTGCTGCCATGAATGGTTGGGCAGGGGGTTTTTATAGAGTCTTGAAGGCACATCCTTTCAGATTCCCCTTCACTTTCCTTATTTCTGTTTACTCAGCTTGCCTTGATTCCCTTGCTGATTCCTGGCTTACTGTGGTGGTTGGAAAGCAGGGAGAGAGGGCTGGGGTGATAGCAGGGGGTTATATGGTTACCAAAGTACTGGGAGGTCACGTGAGGGTAGTTGCATCAGACCCAGCAGCTTGGAAAGATGGAGTATCTGCTCATTACTTTTGAGTCACCGGGGCCCTTCAAGAGGTGGAATTTGAATAAAGAAAGGTGAGTATGTCGTCCCAACCACGGTTCCCTGGGTAAAGAGATTTTTGGGACACGTGCAAGTGCTCAGAAAGGAGAGGTGGCAGCACTAGAGACAAACTGTCTTAAGGGGCCGGATGGGATGGGATGAGATGGATGGGGAGGAACACAGAGGGAGTCAGGAGGACATAACCAGAGATAATTGCTTGATACTTTTACTGTAGGCAACCATTTGTTCTGTATAATTTAGGTAGGTGTTTATGTAACTCTTAATTACCATCTACCTATTTTTCTGTTTGTGAAGGTTGATTTTGCTTTGCTGCAAAATAAATGTTGTCTGTGCAAGTGATGCCTGTGCTAGAGTGTGAAAACGTTGTTTGTTTGGGTTTTTTCAGTGCATTGTGCTCCTGATCTTTCCTATGATGTTTCACGTGCCATATTCTAGAAAACATTCATGCAAGTGAAAGGAAGCTATGGTAGGGCATATGTGTGCTGGTATTTCTCATGATGTCAGTTTGAGAACTCAAATTCCAGTTTGGGATGTTTAATACATGTGTGAGTCTTGTTTAGGAGACGAAAGGCAGATAATTCTGCATAATGACTTCGGAGACATCTTGCATGGGCCTGGCTGCTTTAGGGTCTTGCCTGACAGCCATGAGCAATGTAGCCCTGTCTCAGTGCACTTGAAATAAGAAAACAGTACAGATCACTTTCATTCTAGTGCTTCTTGCTTGTATTTTCAGGGAATGGCAGGGTCCCTTGCTTTAATTTTACTTTCTTTGAGTTTGGAAAGGTGGGCTTGTGAGCTCTGGCTGCCCTAGACTAGAGGACAGACCTTCAATCATCTTGGCCTTTTGGGTTTTATTACTCATTTAACCTAATAGTGCTGTCTTTCTGTGTGCTGTGTTATGTACTAGCTTTATAAGATCAAGATATGGCAGTTGAGAAGATCCTTTTTTCACTTATTTCATACTGTGGGTTGTTTCAGCAGTCACAGGGTGTTTTGGTATGAATGCTATCTGGAAGTGCCTACACACTCTCAAGTTTGAATGAGATGCCCTGCTTCATCTATATATAAATGGCAAAATGATATGGTTCTGTGTGGATTGAGCAGAGCTTGCTCTATTTTTTTTTTTTTTGTCTTTTTGTCTGTCACTGTTATTTTTTGTAGCGTGGTGATAAAATGCAGTAGGGAGATCTGAGATGTCTTCTAATACATGTGGTACAAAGTCACAGATATTTAGCATCCTGCTACGGTCAGGTAAGCACAGTAAGGACTTGGTTGAGTTCTGTGAATGCTGTCTAACAGAGTTGTTATGGTGAAAAAAGATGTCCAGACGTGACCTTGATTCTGGAAAATGTGGCATAATTGCAGTCCTCCTGAGATAGGACTTATCTAATTAGAGGTTTGAAGGTTTTGCAGTTAAACCATTTAGTTTTTCACTTGCCTGTGCCACATACTGATGGGATCACAAGTAATAATTCCATACTTCTTTTGGAAAGACACAATCATTTCAATATGAATATTCCCATGAGTCAACAAATGTTGTTACATTTGTACAGGCCCCTGAAATCCCACGGATGGGAGAAGGACTTGAGTTTGGGGCAGCATCCAGTGGCTCCAGCAGCAGTCTCTCCAGCCAATATCACACAAGGATTGGAGTCTTTATGATTCATTTTAAACTGGCTGTTCATCTGTCAGTCTTGTAAAAAAAGTAGATGCTCTTAGGTAGTACACACAAAAGTGAAGCTGTTGATTCAAAGTTTATTAAATATTTTTACCTTTTTTATGTTTCTGTTGGTAGCAAATTTGGTGTTTTCCTCTTTTCCTTTTATCCCTCCCCTCAAAAACCCCAATGCTCTGCCATAGCATATAATTTCTCAGGTATTTGGCATTTATTTTGTACGTTGAGCTCATTTGTATCAGCAATCTGTAATTTCTTGTTTGATGCTTACTGCCAGAGGCTTGTAAGTATGACTTTGGAGAGTAAATACTAAGATAAGTCTGCAGCGTGGAAAAAAGTTGGACTTTAGTGTAAGCAAGTTTATGCTAGTAAATAATTACCTTTTCAGTTCTTGAGAGGAATTTACTAGTAACTATCTGCTTGGGAGGGGAAAATATGGAAGCTGTAATATAAGGACTGAAAAACAAAACAAACCCCAAAGAATCCTCCTCTGCAGGGATCTA